ATATCTGCAACATTCCAAAGCATTCTGGTTAGCAGATTAAAAATTAAATTTCAAAATGTTGTTTTATAATTTTGATTTTTTTTCCAAAAAGCTGGACGTTTCGGGTGAAAAGTCGATTGTTGTTGTAAACTACATGTGTAGGACTATGTTATTTTATACAATTGAAAACCCATTTACTATGTACAATTTTGAAGTGACGTCATCGCATTAGTGGTGAGGATGATTAGACAAATTTTGGTTAGCGTTTTACCATCTACATGATATTCTTAATATACGTACAAAATTTCACAACAATCGGTCGAATACTTTCGGAGATTATCTGTCTAATAAAAATCCGGGACGGCAGACGGACAGACGGACGGACAGACGGACAGACGGACAGACGGACAGACGGACAGATGGACAGACGGACAGACGGACGGACAGACGGACGGACAGACGGACGGACAGACGGACGGACAGACGGACGGACAGACGGACGGACAGACGGACGGACAGACGGACGGACAGACGGACGGACAGACGGACGGACAGACGGACGGACAGACGGACGGACAGACGGAAATAGGAGACCTATTTCTACGTTTTCTAGGGGTCATGAAAGATCGAGAAAACGTAAAAGTAGAGAGTCGGCCGACGGACTCGATTACAATACTTCCTTTGCTTACGCTCGGGAAGTAAAAATGAAAGAACACGGTGGGCGGGGTTAAGTTTAACTTTTTTCTACAATCTTTTATTTACAGACAGTAACCCCGCCCGTCCACCCTCTATTTTATTAGAATCTATTTTATTAGCGTAATTTGTCAAAATTAGGCTTTTTAAAAATCAAATTTTATGGGTATAATTTTTCAGAAAAGCAGTATTTGTTGGGCTGTATTTCAGAAGCGAGGGAAGTTCTGTCGAAATAGCCTTCGACCAATTTTTTAGCCTATACATTGTAAATTGACAAATATAAACAATGTCTAGAAAAAGATTTCTATGAATATTTTAGTTGCCAATAATACATTGATAAATTAAAGATTTAAATTGTGACGTCGGGAATCGTGACGTCACGACATATTCAAACAAAGGAATAGCTTCTCGAACATTCCCGAACGTGTTGTTGCGTCAGCCAACCAGTATTTAACAATTTTTTTAGCCTGTACATTCTAAATTAACAAATATAAACAAACAATGCCTAAAAAGATTTATATAAACATTTTAGTTGTTATTAATATATTGATAAATTAAAGATTCATATTGTGACGTCGCGAATCGTGACGTCACGACGTATTCAGACAAAGGAATAGCTTCCCGAACATTCGCGAACGTGTTGTTGCGTCAGCCAACCGGTATTCAACCAATTTTTTAGCCTGTACATTGTAAATTAACAAATATAAACAAACAATGTTTAAAAAGATTTATATAAACATTTCAGTTGCCAATAATACATTGATAAATTAAAGATTTAAATTGTGACGTCGGGAATCGTGACGTCACGACATATTCAAACAAAGGAATAGCTTCTCGAACATTCCCGAACGTGTTGTTGTGTCAGACAACCAGTATTTAACAATTTTTTTAGCCTGTACATTGTAAATTAACAAATATAAACAAACAATGTTTAAAAAGATTTATATAAACATTTCAGTTGCTAATAATACATTGATAAATTAAAGATTCATATTGTGACGTCGCAAATCGTGACGTCACGACGTATTCAGACAAAGGAATAGCTTCCCGAACATTCGCGAACGTCTTGTTGCGTCAGCCAACCGGTATATATACAGGTCGGCGGCCACTTTTGGGCAGTCTGAGTTGAACGTTCACCACGTGAAGACGTCTGTTCCGAATAAGGAAAGTAAGGAAACAATTTCGCAACTAAGTGGCGAATTTATTTATTTATTTATTTTTAAAATTATTCGTTGCATATAATAACACATGGTGATAAATGACAGATTTACAATTATTAATGAAATCAACTCGTGCAAACACTGCTAAGAAACTATCATGACACAATTAAATAATATTTAAACAATTCAATTTGTTTAAACATTGTTGAATTGCAATTTTCCGGGCAAAGTATGAAAAATAATTTTAGTAATCTCATGGTGACACACCATGACGTCACTGTCACGTGACCACTTGAGCAAAGGCACGGTCTTCGGTCCGTTGTGTTCAGTTTTGATTTCGATCTGGTGGCAGCAACGTCGGAGCATTCGGAGCCCCGTTCTGGCGTAAAACTACCACGTTTTCGCGAATTTCTAATTCATTGATAATAAATATTAATGAAAATGTTCTGCATTAGCTCTGTGAACACGAAACAAAGTGTGCATTTTTCCAAAAATTCCCAAAAACGGAGTAAATACGGTTGTAGTTTTAATTTTTAGTATACTGTTTAAATATGATAAGTATTAATTAATATAATTAAAGCCGTTTTCCTACAAACGTGAACATATTAAAAAGGTGCAATGTTCCAGTCAAAATATGAAAAATAATGTTTGCAATCTCATCGTGATGTTTGATGACATCACTGTCACGAGAGCCACCTGAACAAATATTGCGGTTTTCGGTTAGTTTTGATTTCGGTCTGGTGGCAGCAACATCTGAGCATTCGGAGCTCCGTTTTCGCTTAAAAGTAGCCCGTGTTCGCGAATTTCTAATTTATTGTTTTTCTCATGGCAAGACGCACTCCAGACCTCCTCGTATTGTTTGGTTCTTGCTGGGCAACAACAACGAGCGAGCACAGTCATCGCTCTTTGGTGGCAAACGTGGAGAAATTTGTATATTGTAACTTTTGTAATTGAACCATTTTGTACTGTATATTGTATGTGTTACTAACTTAACTTGGTCTGGGGGGGGTTCTGTTGGCCCTTAGACGCTGGGTCGCATCATCCTATAAGGATGAGGTCAGTCGGCCTTGGATTTATGCGGCTGCATTCCTGCCTTGGGCGAACGAGCACTGCGACCAATAGATTTCGTTCCGAGTTCCATCGGTGTGCTTGCTTGGGTTTTCATTTTGCAACATTCTCAATTTTTGGTGCAATTTCTTCCGGTGATGAATTGGGTACTAACTTTGCATTTGTTTTGTATCTAAATTGTATCTGTATCTCTAGTGTATTCTGTATTGTAGTTAGATTGTAGGTACCTGTATTGTATTTCTTTTGTATTGTACTGTATAACGTTCTATCCCTCATTAACAAATCCTAGCCCTCTCCTTTCCTAGCGAGATCTGCTCCAGACCTTCCCGTGGTTCTTGCTGAGCATCAACTATCGAGGACAGAAAATTCAAATTCAAAACCAGCAAAGTTTCACAAAAATCTTGAAAATCGCTCGTTGGTGGCCAACGTGGAGCAAAAGAGACTTTTGTAACTCAACTAACTTTGTTAACTTTGTATTCTTAAGGAAACAAAAATGTATTACATTTAATTTATTATTTATAAGGACAAATGTGAAGACAAGTTGTTAACAAATTTTTCCTTCATTTTCCTTTTTTTCCTCGGCAACTTCTACCTTTAATAGGAGTCGTTTCTTTGATAAGCGTCATCACTAAATCAGCAATGTTAGTGTTTTGGAGGGGATAAGCAAATATATTTTGACTAAACATTTAATTATGCTCTTTTAAACCTTAAAACATCTGCAACATTTCAAAGCATTGGGTTTTGTAGTTTCTGAGTAAATCAGTAAAATAAATTTACGCTTTCATTAATTTTTTTGAATCAGCCTGTATATGCAAATTCAAAAAATATGAATGGAGTGATAGATCACAAGTACAGACTCATCATATTTTGTACATTTTAGATATGATTTATTCCACAAACTGTTGAGCTGACGTCATCAAGTTTTTGGAGGGGATAAGCAAATATTTTTTGACTAAAGATTTATGATGCTCTTTATAGCCTTAAAACATCTGCAACATTTCAAAGCATTCTGGTTAGCAGATTAAAAATTAAATTTCAAAATGTTGTTCTATAATTTTGATTTTTTTTCCAAAAATCTGGACGTTTCGGGTGAAAAGTCGATTCAGAGTTGTAAACTACATGTGTAGGACTATGTTATTTTATACAATTGAAAACCCATTTACTATGTACAATTTTGAAGTGACGTCATCGCATTAGTGGTGGGGATGATTAGACAAATTTTGGTTAGCGTTTTACCATCTACATGATATTCTTAATATAAGTACAAAATTTTACAACAATCGGTCGAGTACTTTCGGAGATTATCTGTCTAATAAAAATCCGGGACGGCAGACGGACGGACAGACGGACAGACGGACGGACAGACGGACAGACAGACGGAAATGGGAGACCTATTTCTTCGTCTTCTAGGGGTCATGAAAGATCGAGAAAACGTAAAAGTAGAGAGTCGGCCGACGGACTCGATTACAATACTTCCTTTGCTTACGCTCGGGAAGTAAAAAGCTTTAATTTCGTTTGATAACAGTGCAAATTACTTTTGTCAACGTGACGTTTAATAAAAAATTATTTTAAACTAAGACAAACGGCTTTTCGTGCATGGCCAACTTTGACTAATTTCTTTTTCGATCTCTCTGTATTTATTTATAGGTGTACCTACTTGTTTCATTTTTAATTTCCAATACTTTTTTTCTAATGCTAAATTTTGCTTTTTCATGATTGATCACGTGAAACGCGATATACAATCGTTGAATACCGAATGCGGATCGAATCTGATGGAACTTTCAAGGTCGGGGTAGTTTTGAAATGACCAATCACAACTCATTTCCAGTGGGGTGAGCGTTACCAACTTAAGAGAGTAACAGCTAAACTTCGAGCTACGTAACTGGAAGAAACATCGTGCATTGATAAACACTTTACCTCCGTTAACTGCTAGTTACCCTTATCTGACAGTTACTTAACAGACACTTTTAACTGAGCATTGATAAACCGGCCCTTAGACAGATATCTCTAAATCCACCAGGTAAAGTAACTTTAGACAGGCAACCAACAATACACGAACACATTGAAACGTTCGTTGGAAAGGTAACTTAAACGCCCACACTTGCTTTGCCCGGTAAAATGGCACAACTTTATTTAACCAACCTGACGAAAATACAAAAATAGTAGCTTCAGTGGTGTCAGCAAACAATGTTAAACAACACAAACTAAAATTCATTCATCAATGAACTACGCAACGAAAACAACTTATTACCCTTAACGAAACTAAGCTATCAGGATTATTCTATACTGGCTAATACTGATCAGTGACATTTATTAAAATCCTTCATCTTTTCTAACTCTTCTAAGTCCTCCTTCTCGATATCCGCGTCTCCGTAGCCCCAAACGTGACTCCCGTCGCCGCTCTTCTGGGCCCTTCTGCTGATCATCGAGCTAGAAGCAAATTTTAAGTCATACGCCCAGCCGATTTTTGCGAACAGATCTATAAAGGCGGTGGATGGGTTGTAGATGTTGCCCAGTTCACCAGCGCGGTAATCCCAAGGGAAGACGTGATGGTAGTTGTGCCAACCTTCACCTAGAGCTGCCATAGACACGGCTAAGTTCTCTACTGGACTAATATATCTGGAAATATGGTGTTAGATGGGTCAGGATGGGTCACTCTACCAACCTATCGTAAGGTTTTTGGCCCCACATGTGCGCAACACTGTTGACGAAGAAGGCGATGTTCAAGGTGATACAAAATCTGGCGTTGAAGTTCACCCAAAAGGAATTCCAAACAGTCTCGTTCCAATAGTAGACGGGAATGTACACTGGCAGGAAAATGACGAAGATGAGGAAAAGGAGAGGGTATAACCTGAAAGATAGTTTGTGAATTAAGTTAACTTAAGTGATAATTAAGCCTACTTTTTCTGCCACATGACGATAGGATCAGCTTCTAAGTCACTCATGTCAACGGCTTTTCTCTTCTCGACGACGTTTGGATGAGGGGTTAGGACCAACCAGCCCACATGCGAAAAAAGAAAGCCTCTTTTAGCATTGTGAGGGTCTGCGTCCGTTTCGCTATATTTGTGGTGGACCCTGTGGTCCAAGGCCCATATGTAAACATGTCTCTGGAAATATAAATGTGTTATGGATTTGTCCAAAATAGAATAGGTATAGGAAAAATACTTGATATATGTACACTAAAACCTAGAAGAGGAAGATACTGTTACTCTTATCTTATCTACAAAGTTATTAGTATCACGGTCTATAAATTTAAAAACTGAACCACCAATTTTTCGACGTTCGCTAATCCCACGCAGCGATCATAATCTGACGAGTATCATTTTTAATTACACACTTAACGCTAGTACCAGTACTTCACATTCATAGCATATCCGGCAATTACAATACTTATAAAAATAAAAATAAAAAAAAACGATAAAGCAAATCCATTACACAACGAATTGCCTTAAACATACAGCTGTCCAAAAACGGAATCTAATGAACACCTGCCTTTAGCATGACTCAACAAAAACACTTTCACAACTCAGTACGATAACCACAGAAAAAATATAGCAATCAAATCCGACTTTTGAATTATCCAACAGTAAAATTAATTCTACAAAGTAATCAGTCGGTATTGTTACCGAAGCTTTCGTGCTTTGCTTGATTCCTCGAAACGTGTAAGGTGAAATAAATTATTTGTGCATTGTAAAAAATGAAAATCGATTACGTCGTGTTTTTAGGTCACAATGTACTCAGTCCGTTATTTAGGTCTTAATAATTGCTGGCCTTGTTGGAACGTGATGACGAGGGTGGTGCCAGTGCAAAAAGTTTTAATTGAAATCAGAACTCTTAATGCGTTTCGAGCACTCGAGCTATCCTATCATCTCGAGAACGAAAAAAAGTTGCTTAAAAAATTTATTGTTATAACGTACAATTAGTTGTAGAACGCCATGTGAAATTGTAATGATGTTTAAACAACACAGTCGAGGCAAATATTACGAAATCGATAGTGCGTTTATTCGGGAAATTGGGGCATGAAGGGTAATTTTTCAATTACATAACAAACGGTTTTTACTGGCCGCTACAAGCTGAATTATCGACGAAAATGTGATAAGTTGGTGCGGTTGTCGCGACTTTTAATTATCACAAGGCTTTGACATTTCGAAGTTCATTATCACTTATTAGTCGTTTAGTTATAAAACTATGCATCTTTTAGATACCAAAATACAAAAATCCAGTTTCAAATTATGGACTTGTCCTAGAATTATAATTAAGCGAAGGTAGTACTACGAGTATTTTCTTGTAGTAATTTTTTTCACTCTACTCTAAAACAGCTTCCTTGTTTACAGCCAGTCAATCAACGTTTCGGCAATTAAAAGTGCCAAGTTTTAAACCACACGGAGCATTTCGATGCAATGTAACGATTTTCTCATTTACAAAATTTAGAAGAGCAAATGCTATTGAAATTTTCTCTTGCACTTGTGATTTATGAATCCGAGTTGAATTTTTACCTTGGACATTCAGATTTTTGGAAAAAAAAAATCAAAATTGGGTAACAACAAATCTTTCGCATTTTGAGTGTTTTTTTTATTAATTTAGTGCCATTAAAACATTTGTTTACGAATAAGCCGTCAGCTATTTTGTTTTTATTTTAATAATCTCCCTGTGAAGGTAAATTCCTCCGAAAAATCAACTCTAAAATGCGAGCGCCGCGAGCAAGTTCAGGATGTTTCAGTTCCACAGACATCACAAAAATTTTAAACTGACATTTTTAAATAACATTTCTTAATAATTTAGCTTCTCATGGACACCAATGAATAATTTTTAAAATTTTCATAGAAATGTACAGGAAAATGTCTCAGGGAACATGTTTGGGTTCTATACTAAACATAAATCTCTAGACAAAAAAGCACACCCTCAGATGAATCCTCTTAGGATTCACCTTTTTTAGACAATAAAACATTCTGTTTTTCAAACCTCTCGATGGCCCCTGAAAAAAATTACTTCTATAAGAATTTCAGTCCCTTACTGTCTTAAGAAAAAATATATAAATAAATAAAAATTTCGAAGAACTCCGGTGTCTTGTTCCAGAAGAAGTTAGAAAAAATCTTCTTAAAGCAAAAAATATCAGGGTTGGCTGATGTATTTTAGAAAAAAATCAAAACTATCGGGAGCTTTGTTAAAATAATATATGTATATACAGGGTGATGAAAAAATGATGGTACGTTGTTAAGAAAGCTCTGAAGAATTCGAAAAAAAATGGTTTAAAAACCCTGAACAAAATTTTTGTAAATATTAACTTGAAGAATGTAAATTTAGTTGACAGTCTAAAATTCCAATAACAATAGTCAAAAATGACATCTGTCAACAGTAAAAAATCACCCCTTATATAAATTTCGAGCCTCTGGTATGCTTTTTTGAAAAACAAAGAATCTTGGGGACACCTGGTGTCTTTTTTTGGAAAACAAATCTCAACCTCAAGTGTTTTTTTTTTTTTTAGAAAAAAATTTAAAAATCTGGGGGACCCAATGTTTTATTTTAGACAAAATTGTGTCGGGGGTTCCTGGTGTCTTGTTTAAAACAAAGTATAAAGAATTTCCGGAGGTCCTGATCCTACAAAAAAATCAAAAAACCCGAGGACTTCGGGTGTCTCGTTTAGAAAAAGATTTAAAGAATCTCCCTGATGTTTTCTTTTGGAAAAAACAAGACTATGAAATCCTTGGTGTTTTTTCAAGAATTTTGGGGTCCTATGTTTTTAGAAAAAAATTGAAAAATCTAGGGAGCCCTTTTTTGGAAAATAGAATCTGGAGAACCTTTGGAGTCTTTTGGAGAAAAAAGTTAAAAGCCCCTTTGTGTCTTTTTAGAAAAAAAAAACAACAAATAAATCAAAAATCTCGGAGGGGTTTTATTTTAGAAAATAAATCAAAAATCTCGGAACTCCTGTTTTATTTTCGAAAAAAATTTGAATAACGTCAGGGGTTCCTGATGTCTTATTTAAAACAAAGTGTAAAGAATCTCGGGGATCTCGTTTCTTTGAAAAAAAAAAAAAAACAAAAAACAAAAAACTCGTGGACTACTGCTGTCTCATTTAAGAAAAATTTTCGAAGAATCTCGTGACCTTCTTGATGTTTCTTTTAGTAGTAGTTTTAAAGAATCTGCTGGTGTTTTCTTTTGAAAAAAATAGAATTTCGGAAATCCTTGGTGCTTTTTAAGAATCTTGGGGGTCCTTGTATTCTTTAGAAAAAAAAAGAGTTTAGTATAAGAGTCTAGTCTAATATATTATTTAAACTCTGAATGTTTTTTCATTATTATTAAAATTAAGTCTAGGGAACCTTTGGAGTGTCATGGAGAAAAAAGTTAAGAATATCGCCCCCTTGTGCTTTTTTAGAAAAAAAAACTCGGGGGATCCCAGTGTCTTATTCTGGAAAAAAAAATTAAAGAATCTCGAGAGGTCCGGGTCTATCTGGAGTCTCGCTTTTCGAAAAACTTTCAAAAAATCTCGTGGCCTTCTTGATGTTTCTTTTAAGTATAAGTTTGAAAGAATCTGCTGACGTTTTCTTTTGGAAAAAAAATAGAATTTTTTAAGAATCTTGGGGGTCGTTATATTTTTTAGAAAAAAAAAAGAATCGGGGAACCCTTGGAGTTTTTTGGAGAAAAAAAATCTGGGAGGGCCATGGTGTCCTATTTAAAACAAAATAAAAAGAATCTCGGGTGGCACTAGTCTTAAAAAAAAAAAAAACAATCAAAAAACTCCTGCTGTATGACTTACGAAGTTTTAAAAATCTGCCTGGTGTTTTGTACTGACTAAAAATAAGAATTTTGGGAGTCCTTGGTATATTTTAAGAATCTTGGGAGCCCTTGTATTTTTCAGAAAAAAATTCAAAAATCTAGGGAGCTTTTTTCTACAAAAAAAGAATCTGGGGAACCCTTGGAGTGTTTTGGAGAAAAAAGTTAAGGATATCGGTCCCTTGTGCCTTTTTAGAAAAAAAAATTAATAAAAATTTGGAAAAGCCGTTGTGTCTCGTTTCAGAAAAAGTTAAAAAAAAATGTCTTCTTAAAAAAGGATATCAGCGGTCACTGATATATTTTAGAAAAAAATTCAAAAATATCTTGAAATAATATATGCATATACATATACACGATGATCAAAAAGTGATGTATTTATTAATTCCATAGTACGTTGTTACGCAGGCTCTGAAGAATTCCAAAAAAAGTGGTTAAAAAAAATCCTGAACAAAGTTTTTGAAAATATTAAACTTCAAAGCTGAAGAATTAACTTCTTAATTCAGATATGTTTCAATGTGAATTTAGTTGACAGTCTAAAATTTCAAAAACAATAGTCAAAAATGACATCTGTCAACAGTAAAAAATGACGTGACCTCTAGTGTCCATTTTTGAAAAAAAAAATAGAATCTTGGGCCTCTGATGTCTTTTCTAGAAACAATTACAAAAATCTTGAGAACCCCTATGTTTCATTTCAGACAAAAATTTAAGGAGTATCGGGGGTTCCTGCTGTCTTGTTTAAAACAAGGTATAAAAAATCTCCGGAGGCCCTGGTCTTAACGAAAAAAAAAAAAAAAACTCCAGGACTCCTGCTGTCTCGTTTAAGAAAATGTTTTAAAGAATCTACCTGGTATTTTGTTTTGGAAAAAAACAAGAACGTCCGAAGTCCTTTTTTTTAAAGAATCTTGGAGCCTCTCATATTTAAAAAAAAAATCAAAAATCTAGGTAGCACTTAAAAAAAGAATCCGGGGAACCCTTGGAGGAGTCACTGATGTACTTTGGAAAAAAATAAAAAATATCGGGAGCCGCTGCCTTTTTAAAATAATATACATATAGATATACAGGGTGATGAAAAGATTATGTATTTATTAGCTCCACGGTACATTGTTAAGAAGGTTCCGAAGAATTCGAAAAAAAAATTGTTAAAAAAATCCCTCAACAAAATTTTTGAAAATACCAAACTTCAAAGCTGAAGAATTACTTCTTAATTCAGATATGTTTTAATGTGAATTTAGTTGACAGTTTAAAATTACAATAACAATAGTCAAAAATGACATCTCTCAACAGTCAAAAATGATTCAATGAATTATTATTAAATTATTAATAACTAATTATTTAA